AATAGCGTAAAATTCCAGAGACTTGTAGTTTACAGTTATAGCTTTTATAGAGGTGGAACGACAGATGTCAGATGTCATGAGTCAATCTTCTTGGTATAAATCCCAAGAAATTTTTTGTATTATCCTCTATGATCTAGACCCTAGCTCTGCTGATCGCTAATTAATTAATTAATTAATTGATTAATTAATCAATCCAATCATTCGTTTAATATAAATCTCCACCCCTGGAAATGAATTCCATTTTTTTTTTGAGTTTCATTTAAAAAATATTGGAAAAAATTAATTATCGATTGGTGATTAATAAAAAAAAACACGAATCAGTAGTGGATAATTGCTAATAATTTCTCAATTCGCAAATGACTGGATTTGTGGAATAAATGTGGAATTTTGATCTGGAGATTTCAGGAGTTAATCGATTCCTGGAGATTTCAGTTGAGAAGACACTTTCCTCTCTTCTGAGCGATATCTCTCGTCTGGTTTCACCCGATATGGGAAACCTCTCCAGTAATAGTCAAATAAAAACTCCCCCGTATTCCACTTAGAAAATACCCCTGATTTTATTCGAAATTTACGACTTTCTCTCACCTTCAATGTTTCCTCAATGTGTCAAAGTCAATTTATTATCATGATTTAAATCCTGTTGAATGTAGCTACTGAGTTATTTTTAATAGATGAATTATCGATGGAAAGTCGATGGAATAAATTTTTTATATTGAGGTTTTGGGGCTGAATTAACTAATTTTCTAATTTTTATTAAATTAGAAATTTTACAAATTTCAGAAAATTAATTAAATGTACAATTCAATAAAAATCGTCATTAAAAATTCATAAGTTTTTATTATTATAAATAATCATGGAATCTTTAATAATAATTTGCACATTTACATTTGTACATTTAATTCATTTTTTGACAGATTGAAAATTGAAGCGATAATTTTCCTGGATTTTCGATCTATCCAAAAAAATTATGAAAAATCGAGGGTTCATAGAAAAATTAATAACCATTCAACACAAAGTAAAAAAACAAATGGTCAAGTTGCCCCACGAATTTTTAAACGTGGAAATTCACTTTTTTTTTGTGAAAAAAATTAATTTCCATAGTAAATGACGAAGGAAGATGGTAAATTTTATGAAATGCAAGTGCTCGACACTGAAAATTACCGAGTACTACTGGTTTTACCCCTTGTATAATGATGGTCTCGCGATGAGCCGTCAAAATAGAAGCAAAATGAGAAAAGGGTGTGCGCTTCCTTCACCCATCAACCACAATCACGCGAAACAAGATTCCAAGGGCCGATTCAGCCCAATAAGATCAACAAAAGTGGAATGCATAAAGCCGAGGTTGAGATAAAATTGAGAGAATAAAAATAATAAATAAAAAAAATATTGGAGAATGAGGAAAAATGGAGGAGTTTGCCTCAAGGGCGTTCTTCCGACATGAGATCTCGATAATCGTAGCCGAGACTAGTTGCATGGACAGGGAATTGCAGATCTTTCATATCCATTTGCATTCCACTGGCAAATACTATATTTAGTGTTATTACTTATTCGGTGATGTCGCATTTTCTTTTTTCTGTTGCATAACGGAATTCGTGGGGAATTATTTCACATTAAATCGAGAATATGTGAGACTTCATGTGAATCGGTGGAACGGGACACGATGAGGAAAATATTTATTTATCAGTGAAAAAATTATTATAGTCAGGAAATTGAAGGATTTGATAAATTAATACCGATTGAAATTATTGGAGAATCGATGGTTATTTATTATATTTATATGGATGGATATTTTATGATAATTTGTTGAATAATTGTTTTATCAAGTGGAAACTGGAGAATTGGATATTTAATATTTTTTAATTTAAAATTCTTGTTGGTTGAAATGAGGATTAATTTTGAGGCAAGTCAACTTCCTGGAGCAGAAGCTCTCGTAGACGATTCATCACCGAATTATCCTAATTTTTTACTTCCTTTGGGGCCAACCCCATGGCGAACCCGTGAGAAAATCCGTTGTCCCCTCATAACATGTCACCGTGTCTCAATAAAAGGAGACAAACAACCTCGACCAACGAAAACTCCAGAGGCTCTTGGAAAGCGATTCAGAGTGCGGAAAGACCGGACGCCCTGAGCGAAATCACCGAGCCGTGCTTCCACGTCTTATGAGCTAGCTTAGAAAAAAAAACTTCATGTCAGGTGCATTGTAACTTGAATAGAGAAAAAAAAAGGAAAGAATCTCTTTCACGCATTTCTCCAGTAATTAAAATTGAAAGGATCGTTTGGACAACAGTCCCAACGTCGGGATTTAATCTGGGGCCAACGCTCCTATCGACACATTGACCTGATTTAACCTTCAAGTCATAATTATATTTTCAGTTGTAATACACTTGGACCTTTGAAATTGTCGGATTTTTCGGGAATGTTTAGTGTTAAAAAAAAATTTATTAATTAAAAAAAAATTTATTAATTAAAAAAAAAAGCATTTCATAAGTCGTCGAGACAACCCGGGTAAAAAAAATTGTAATCGGAATATTTTTGAGAAATTTTCCAAAAATTTCTGGAGAACTTTTCAGAAATTTTTTTATGAAACAGAAAAAAATCGGAAAACAAAATAATTTTATTTTTCGGAAAGGTTTTGAAAAATTTTTCAAAAAGATAAACAGAAAATTTTTTAGGAATTTAGGAAATTTTTTTTGGCGTATTTTTTGAGAATATTGAAAAATTAAAAAAGTAAAAAAACAACAGAATAATTTTGAAAAAATTATATTCGCGAAAA